ATGTTACTGCTGATCAGTTTCATGTTGCTGCTGATCAGTTTCATGTTGCTGCTGATCAGTTTCATGTTGCTGCTGATCAGTTTCATGTTGCTGCTGATCAGTTTCATGTTGCTGCTGATCTGTTTCATGTTGCTGCTGATCTGTTTCATGTTGCTGTGTTCATTCGTGTTCATCTGTTCACACAGACTCATGTCTGTGCTGCTGTTCGGCGTATTGTGTTTATTGTTTTTATGCTATTAGTGCTTAGTGTATATTTAGTTGATGTTTTTATTAGTTCATATCTTTAGATCTTATTACTGTTTTTCTTTTACATTTTATTGTTGGATGTAACTGGGACCCTGTGAACATAATTTTGATCCACCACATGTACCACATGACAATAAAGAATATCTGCATCTGTATAATACTTTCTGATTCATATATCCACTGTTATTATTATATTATTTTCATTATTTTTAAATCAATTTATTTTTCATTTTCTTATTTGATCAGTTTATTATTATTAATATATCTATTATAGCTGTTAGCAGCACCTTTCTTTGTTTTATGCATTTATTCAAAAACAGTATGTAGCTTGAATTAACCACCTGTTTCTTCTTTCTAGTGAAGAGAAAGAGAAAAGAGTCCAGTAAAGAAAAGTCTTATTCCATCACTGAATGAACATGAAGAACTGAAGCGGACACAGCAGGAACAACACTTGTGTCTTCTTCTGGATGAAGCCCGTGAGACAAGGGACACACAGATACACAGTCATTAGTTGGAGGCAGTAGTTTTTATTTTTCTACATTTTTCACTTCTTACTTTTACTATTAAACAATTTTTTTCTTAAGTGGTGTCCTTGAACATTAAATTTCCTAAACAAATTTTACAATGTTAAGTTCATATAGTGTTTGTTTAAATTCATACTGGAAGTTGAGAAGAATTTCCAGTTGCATTTGATCTTTAATGGATCCTAAGAAAAGATTACTAGAATCTGCTCAACTGTTATTATGTTATAAATGTTTTGGTTCTAGGATGAAGTGAGAGAAAAACAGTCAAAAATTCAGAAAAGACAGTTGTCAGTTGTCAGTTATCAGTTATCGTTTATTGTTTATCAGTTATAATTTATCGTTTATTAGTTATCAGTTATCATTTATCAGTTATCATTTATCAGTTATCATTTATCAGTTATCAGTTATCATTTATCGGTTATCGGTTATCATTTATCAGTTATCATTTATCAGTTATCATTTATCAGTTATCATTTATCAGTTATCA